ACGTGCCTACCAGAGAATCCTCTGCGACGTAACTGCGTTTTTCAGAGCCTCAGTTTCCTCGGCTGCAAAATTGGGATGATAACATGTAATGAGAGGTTGAACTGAGGATTAAATGAGATGTCTGTGAACACCATCTGGCTCTAAGTTGAGGATCTACAAATGGCAGGTTCTGTCCCAAGTGAGGAGCTCAGAGCAGGGATTCAGTTCTGGAATCTAAGACCAGCATTCTCATCATCCTAGGGGGAGGGCATCTTTAGGACCTGCCAGGCTGTGGGGTCAGGGTGGGGGGAGATTCCTGGGGCTGCTGGAAAGAAGGAACCAATGTAAGAGCGGGCAAAAAAATCTTCCAGGCCAACCTGTGTCAGAGGGCTGGGAATGGGCTAGTAGAAGGGTAGCTGTCCCAACTCGAGGTGGCCCAAGCAGACAGCAGGTGAGGCAGGCTGCTGATGGCACTGATGGGGGTGGGGGTCTTCAGCCGCCTTATTCTGGGAAGATCTTGAAACTCAAAAACAAAGCAAGCCAAAGGGCTCTTCCCCATCTGTATTGTGGTAACTGAGCCCAAGCTAGCACCTCCACCGGCTGGAAGGCAGGGGAGTCGTTAAGGACACCTGCCTCTCTCCCTCCCCCTCCCGGCGGGAACCCACTGAGACTGCAAGACTGTGTGAGCACCTGGGCCTGGGTGGCGCCTGGGAACACGTGGCGCCCAAGGCCGCCAGGCTGCCCCGCGGGAAAGGGGTGGGAGCTCAACCTGGGCTTCAGGGGGTCCCTCAGGACACCGGAGAATGCCATCGACAAGATTATTAAAAGAACCATTCAGGCGGAAACGGAGTGAAGATGGTACCAGGATAAAGAAATCAGGGAGCCAGGAAGAAATAAACCCGCCAATGTAAAAGATAGTAACATGTAATAAAGAACGTTTCGCAATAGGACAGGAAGGATTATCTATGAATAATCTTGGGATAATTGATTTGTTCTTTGGGGGGAAAAATGAAATTTAGAGGTACATCTTCTACAACATACCAAAATTAATTCAGTTCCCGATGGCGTTAAATTGGAGGTGGGGGATTAAACAACACTTGCACAAAAAAACAAGTGGAAATGTATCCATCCTTTAGAGGGGAGAGGATTTTCTAGGCTTTAAAGGTATGAGATAAATCCCAATAGGGAAGATGGATATGTTGGTTCATACAAAACAAACAAGTGCAGGTTTTTTTTTTAAAGTGAAATTAAAAGTAGTCAGTGAATTGGGAAAAGGCTCCAGTCAAGGGCATTGTAGAGCTTCCCAGGTAGCTAAGTGCTGAAGAGTCCGCCTGCAATGAGGAGACTCGGATTTCATCCCTGAGTCAGGAAGATGCCCTGGAGAAGGAAATGGCAACCTTCTCCAGTATGCTTGTCTGGGAAATCCCATGGACAAAGGAGCCTGGCAAGTTACAGTCCATTGGGTCACAAAGAGTCAGACACAACTTATCGACTAAAACAACAATGATGAAAGTGCATCATACAAAGAGTTGATGCCTTTAATATGTTAAAGCCCTTACAAAATTAAGTAGACACTAGGACTAAAAGAGGACTATAAAAAAATAATAATAAATAAAAGAGGACTATAGACAGTACAGTAAAGGAAACAACTAAAATGGGAAAATAATGTCATCAGAGAAATGAGATACCATTAACTGATTAAAGTAGGATTTTTTTAATTTTTTACTTTATTTTTTAACGAAATGCCAAAGATCGAAGGCAGGAGAAGAAGGGGACGACAGGATGGCATCACCGACTCAATGGACATGAGTTTGAGCAAGCTCCGGGAGATGGTGAAGGGCACAGAAGCCTGGAGTGCTGTCGTCCATGGGGTTGCAAAGAGTTGGAAACAACTGAGCAACTGAACGACAACAACAAAGCTCGGGTAGGGATGATGTGGGCCTTTCAGACATTGCGGCGGTTTTATACTAACATAAATCATAAGGGGCTTCCCAGGTGGTGCAGCGGCAAAGCATTTGCCTGCCAATGCAGGAGACACAAGAGACATGAGTTTGATCCCTGGGTTGGGAAGATCCCCTGGAGAAGGAAATGGCAACCTGCACCATTATTCTTGCCTGGAAAATTCCATGGACAGAGGAGCCTGGAGGGCTACAGTTCATGGGATCGAGAAGAGTCAGGCATGACTGAGTGACTGACCACAAGCACAAAATTAGTATAACAGGTGTATCAGGGAGACTTGAAACACAGAGGCCTCAGATGCTCAACATCACTAATCATTAGGGAAATACAAATTGAAACCACTGTAAGATAACACTTCACACCCATTACAATGGCCACTGTCAAAACTAAAGTTAGAATTAAATTACTGTATGATCCAGCAATTCCACTTCTGGAATACACACAAAAGAACTAAAAGTAAGATCTCGAAGAGAGATTTGTACACCCATGTTCACAATAGTTATAACAGAGAAGCAACCATTGAGGGATATCCACTGAGAGATGTACAATAATGTGAATGTATTTAATATCACTGATCTTAAAATGGTAAATTTTATGTTATGTGTACTTTACTGTGTGGTAAAGAATTCACCTTCAATGCTGGAGACCTGGGTTCGATCCCTGGGTTGGGAAGATCCCTAGAGAATGAAATGGCAACTCATTTCAGTATTCTTGCCTGGGAAATCCCATGGACAAAGGGGCCTGGTGGACTACAGTCCATGGCATCACAAGAGTCAGAAACTACTTAACTACCACCCCCACCGCTTTACTACAATTTAAAAAATTTTTAAGCTAAACAAAACCACTCAAAATTATTGAGGCCTTTAACCTAATTTTAAGGAAGTAAGTATGAATTTGGAAAATACTTTATGAATAAAGATAACTGTTGCCCCAAACTGGAAAACCCAAATATCTACAAGTAAAGGAATGGCTAAATAAGCTCTAGTATGTCTGTAGTTTTATGTTTTAATAATGTTTATTATCCTGATTTTTAATGTAATACAGGTTTATCATAGAAAATTTAAGAAATAAACAATTATAAACATGAAAAGAAAAACTATCCAATATCCTCACATGCAGAGATAGCCATTGTTAACATTTCATCTGCTTCCTTCTAGGAATAATCATATATATCTTATGCAAAATTGGGTGTATATTTTCCATTTAAATTTGAATCCGGTTTGTTTCAGTTTTCTGTATATGTAATTTAGTATACACATATATAAAGAAAGAACATTTATTGACTTCTTACTATATAGAGAGAATAACGCTAGACCCACTTCATGGGTAATCTGTTTAAGTTGAGGTATTATCATTCCCATTGTACAGATAAGGAAATTGAGATTCAGGGAAGTAAGTAATTTGGTGAAAATCACACAATTCCTGAATGATATAGTCAGGATTGAAAGTCAGCTGTTCTGGCTTCACAGCCCACACACTGAACCAAACCCTGGTCTATATCCTGTGTCATTAAATATTCTTTTATATTTATTTATTTATTTAAAATATTCTTTTAAAAACATGATTTTAAAAGGTACTGCATACGGGAATTCCCTGGTGGTCCAGTGGTTAGGACTTATCACTTTCTCATCACTCATCACTGCCATGACCTGGGTTCAACCCCTGATCAGGAACTAAGATTCCCCCAAGTGGCCAGGCATGGCCAAAAAAATGCTGCTGCATAATATTTACTAACATAAGTACATCAAGTATTAGTTCATTTAACTCTTTTCCAAGCATTGACATTAGGTAGTTATTTCTCTTGGTTTGACTTTGTTGTAGTTGTGTGTTTTTTTTTTTAGCTGCACATTGCAGTTTTCAGGATCTTAATTCCCCCACCAGGGATTGAACCTCGGCCCTTGGCAATATGAAGTCCTAACCACAGGACCACCAGGGAATTCCCTCTTTTGGTTTCTACTGTAATACTTGAAAGAACATTTTTGTGCAGAAATCTTTGTCTTACAATGATTGAATCTCTTCTTCCCTCAGGATATATACCTGGATGTAAAGTTTCAGGGTCAAAATGATAGCTACAGCTAAAATTTAAAGGAGTCACTGAAAATGGCATTTTAAAAAGGAGGCTTGAGGACTTCCCTAGTGGTATGGTAGATAAGACTCTGCCTGCCAATGCAGGAGACATGGGTTTCACCTCTGGTCAGGGATGACTCCACATGCTACAGAGCAACTAAGCCCGTGCATCACAATTACTGAGCCCATGAGCCAAGACTACTGAGTCTATACGCTGCAACTACTGAAGACTACTCGCTCTAGAGCCTGTGCTTCACAACAGTAAGACACTGCAATGAGAAGCCCAAGCACCAACCAAGAGTAGCCCCTGCTTGCCACAACTACCCGCACACAGCAACATAGACCCAGCACAGCCAAAAATGAATAATTTTTTTAAAGGCGGGAGAGGTGGCTTGATGCGATGGATCAGGGAGTACACGGGAAATCACTTTTGCTATTAACCTGAAACTGATATAGAAAACAAATTCTATTTAAAAGGGTTATATTTAACTACATGGAAATGAGCTTATTGGGCTTTTTGGCTATAGTAAGGCTAGCCATCAGAAAACAGTTCAAGCCCTGGCTCTGCCACTGGCCAGCTGGGTGGCCTTGGGCAGGTCACTCAATCTCTCTGAGCTTCAGTTGCCTAGCCTGTGAAATGAAACTCACAGTAGTTGGGTGATGGAATGAAGTGCTGGATGTTAAGCCCCTGACATACCGTCAAGTGCTCTAGATCCTGTAGGTGACAGGGGCAGTGACTGGGAAAAGGCCTTGCACACTGCAGAGTGTTCTTCAGATGGCAGGGGGTGTGGCGCTCTGAGTTCCTTGGACTGGTGAGAGAAGGCTGGGTTTGGGGGCCAGGGTGGGGGTGGGAGGCTCCTCACCCAGAAACGGCTCCGTGGTGGAGCAGCTGAGATGCAGCTGTGCCTGTGGCCTGCGAGGCCGTCTTGTGGCTGCCTCCTCCCCCAGCCCACACGCAGGTCTGCAGCTGGGTCCTGCCTCCTCTCAGGTGGGCCATGGCCGAGTCTTGGTTGCTGCTTTTCCTGGCCCTCGGGTGTCCAACCCTGCCCACAGGTGAGCACCCCCCTGCACCCTTCTCTGTGCCCCCCTAGTGGGCCCAAACCCACGTCCTCACTCTGGGTGTCCCTGGTGTGGGAGGGATGCAGAGAGGCAGGACAGAGGTATTTGGGGTCCCCTGAGGAGGGTCCTGCCAGAAGCCCATTATCCCCTTCCCCATTGTACCCTACCTCCCAGCTACCTTGCTCCGGGGCCCCCAAGTCCTGCTCCCCCGGAGTCCACTGTGTTGAGAGGGAGGGTGCTCACCTCTTGGAGCGAGTGGGACAGGTGTGCATGATGGGTAGGGTGGGGTAGCCTGGCTGTGCTGAGCTATATGGGGCCATAGGACACAGCAACACGGTGAGTTCCCCGCTCCTTCCTGTCCAGTCTCCTGCCCTCAGGGCTCAGGGTATCTCACGTTCGCTCCCACCTCCCCTTACCAATAGGTGCTTAGAAGTTTCAAGGCCTCAGTGACTTTCCAGGTGTATTGACCCCTGAGCCCACCCCTACAAAGATCAGGGCTGGAGACGAAGGACTAAACTTTTGAGAATTCCAGGTTCATCTAGTAGCATGTGCATGTTCGTATGTTTGTGGTGGGGAAAGGTCCTTGACTTTTTTTTTTTTTTTAGTTCTACCACTTATTGCTACCAACCCATCTCCCTCCACCCTCGTGCACACATGCTCAGTCATGTAATCCCATGGACTTCGGCCCGACAGGCTCCTCTGTCCGTGGACTTTTCCAGGCAAGAATACTGGAGCGGGTTGCCATTTCCTTCTCCAGGTCCTTGACTTTTGAATCAGGACATCTCCTTGTTCTAAAGCTGGCCCCCAGTATGTCACCAGCACTCCTTTGCTAGGGAGATAAATCACACCCACATGGAACAGGGAGAGCCCGTAGTGGGAGACCTGAGCTCTGAGAAGGAAGCAGCCAGGGTGAGAAGGAGCAATTCTGGGAGGCTTCGTGGAGGAGGCAGATGCTAAACTCAACTTGAGGAGTGTTTCTCCATGTACAGCTGGAAAGGCTCAAGAGGCTGAGGCTCCTGCAACTCATTCTCAGCCTTTTCTCCTCCTTTTGTTCATGATGCCTTATTAATACTAGTATTGATGATACTAATCCTTATCTGCCAGGTGTTTTATATTCATGATCTTTATTATCCACCACAGTTTCCTTGGGTTGGTGTTATTAACCCCATTGTATTGATGGGACAATTAAGACTCAGTAAATTTAGTGGATGAGTGAAAAGTCAAACCAACCCTGAGGCCATGTCCCAGGCTTGGTCCTCTGCGACATGTAGGAAAATCTTGGTCATCTTTCCAAGTGGGGTGGTCTGTGAGACTGGGAGTCACAGAGGTCTGAATCCAAACCCTGAGTGGACTACTTACCATCTGCCTGCTTCTAGGTCAGTTATTTGACCTTCAAGCAGTCTTTTGTGGACTTCCCTAGAGGTCCAATGGTTGAAAGTGCACACCTCCACTGTAGGGGGGCACGAGTTCGATCCCTGGTCAGAGCAGTAAGATCCCACATGCTGCATGGTACAGCCAAAAAAAAAAGAAAACTTTTGTGAGCACCCCCTACCTCTAGATCCCCACAAGTTTCTCTAGTGCCTTCCCTGAACCCTGAGGCATTTCTTTAGCTTGGCTGCACTTAACTCATGCTGGGAATTTATTTGTAGGTTTTAACCTTTGAGATTCTGTTTATATGAAAAGACAGCCACCCATTCAAAAATAGCACTTTTGTTATATATTAAATGAGTCATCTTTACTGCAATAAATAAGTCTGTGGAAAATCAGGACTATTCTGAAAAATACAGGACAAATGTTTGCAGTACTCACATGACTTATTTTTGCTTTTTTTAAATTATAAAATAATACAGACATACACTTTAAACAGCGAATTGTATGGCACGTGAATTATATCCAAACAAAGCTGTTAAAAATGCTACAGACTTAACAGAAAAGAAAAAAAAACCCAAAACTGAAAGGAATACAACAAGCACCCCAGCATAGGCCACTCAGATTAGCAAATGGTTAAAATGTTGCCACATTTGAATCAAATATCTTTTAAAAGAAACAAAAAGGTGCAGAGCATTTGAGGTCCCTTTGATCTCATTCCATATCCTACCTCCTTTCTTTCCTCCCCAGAGGGAACCTCTCTCCTGAGGCTGGCACAACAAGGTACTATGAGTATTTGTTTTCATCTGTGGTCTTTCTCATGGGATTGAAATCATCAAGAGCAAGGACAATATTTTAATTAATTGTTGTGTCCCTAGTGCTTGGCACAGAGATTCAGGTGTGACAGATAGGTGATGGAAGGATGCATAGATGAATGGAAGGAAGGGAAGATGGATAAATGGATGGATGGATACATAGAGATTGAAAGCAGAAAGAAGAGATGTAGGAAGACGGATGATGGTAGAAAGGATGGAGGGAAGGAAGGTGGTTAGGTAGGTAAATGCAAGGAGAGGATGGATGGGTGGGTAGGATAGATTGATGGTTGGTGGAAGGACTGATGGAAGAGAACCCCAGATGGAAGGATATGAGATGAGGACCTGGGAGGGTATGGGCAGTTCTAGGCCCTCTACAAGTATGTGCTCTCTTGCAGGCGTGGGCAGCACACCCTTCCCCTCTCTGGCCCCACCAATCACACTGCTGGTGGACGGGAAGCAGCAGACGCTGGTGGTCTGCCTGGTCCTCGACATTGCACCCCCTGGCTTTGAGAGTCCCATCTGGTTCTCAGCTGGCAATGGCAGCTCACTGGATGCCTTCACCTATGGCCCTTCCCCGGCAGAGGATGGCACCTGGACTCGCTTGGCTCAGCTCTCCCTGCACTCCGAGGAGCTGGCAGCCTGGGACACCTTGGTCTGCCACACGGGGCCTGGAGCTGGGGACCACAGCCAGAGCACACAGCCCCTACGGCTGTCAGGTGGGGACAGGGCCTGGGCCCCCGGGGGTTGCTCCTCGCCCCTTTTCACACACTCTGGAATCAGGATGTGGTGGGAGCGAGCACAGGCTCCAAACCAAACATCTAGGTGAGGTGATGCCTGGGCTCAGAGCAGGGTGGGCTCAGAGCCCCTGAGTCCTGGGATTTGCAACTGTGATATCTCATTCGGATCCAAGGTCTGATGTGTGACTTCTGAGAGGTAATAATGGCTCCTCCATCCTGAGGTCAATACATTTCTGTGTGTGCTATGCTGTGCTGTGCTTGGTCATTCAGCTGTGTCTGACTCTTAGCGACCCCATGGACTGTAACCTGCCACGCTCCTCTGTCCATGGGGATTCTCCAGGCAAGAATACTGGAGTAGGTTGCCATGACCTCCTCCAGGGGATCTTCCCAACCCAGGGATCGAACCCAGGTCACCCACATTGCAGGCAGATTTTTCTTTACCATCTGAGCCACCAGGGAAGCCCCTCTCCATGTATACTCAGGGTTAATATCTATATCATCCTAACTATGACACCCTACCTATAGAACAAAACAATAATTAAATAGCAAATTGCTACCACTTACTTATTGTTTGTTCTGTGCTAGGCACTGTTGTAAATACTTTACATTTAAGTCATATTACAAGTAGGTCATGTTATTCTTCTCATTTTATAGGCACAGAGAGGTCAAGTAACATGTCCAAAGGCAGCTATTATTATTACTAACTAGATGACTTACTTCCTTTTTTAGGATTATGTTAGTTTTCTCATCCTCCAAATGGGAATGTTTGTTGAATAAAGGTCCTGCCTTCCAAAGAAGACTGCTAAGAAAACTGATTCCTTGTCTAAACGTGCTGAGGCATCTCTTGGGGCAGAGAACAGGGAACAGCTAGGAGACAAGGAAATCTGGGCCCCTGACAGGACTTGCCACAGATGGGCTCAGGGTTCCCACTGCTGGTTCATCTGTCCATTTATCCAACACGCCCAGAAGAGCTGCCCTGAGCAGGGCTGGGGCATAGCACTGGGGTGGAGAGCACAGCCCATCCCAAAGACTCACTCCCTTTTCCTTGGCTGCCAGGAGACGCTTCCTCGGTCAGGACCTGCCTCTGGGAGCCTCTCAGGGGTGAGTACCGGGAACCAGGACCTCAGCCCATGCTGGGCTCTGGGCTGATGTGCCCCCTTGGGGGAGCGGTGCAGGTTGGTGGGTATCCCCTGAACAGGTTGCCTCCCTGGGTTGGGGCACTGGCTAACCTGGGCCTCTGTCTACTCCTGGGTCAGAAGGAGGTAGATCCTCTGACCCCAGCATCCTTTCTGGACACCAGGTTGAGAAGCGCCGGTGAGAGCTGGCAAAAGGGTGCTTGGGCAGCCCAGAGGGTTGGCCTCAGCATGAGGGTCTTGGGACACTCTTGGGAGTCCAGGGAGCCTCAGGAGACTGGACACCTGCTGGACATAGAGTGGTGTTCACAGCCAGGCTCTGCTTCCTGCCTGGCCAATCCAACAACCAATCCCCTTGGTTGTTGTGGGATGAAATAACATGAAGGCTAGGAAGGTGTCTATTATTATTACCAGCAGTCAGAGCTGAGGTTAGACACCAGGAAGGCTGTCCCCCGGTTCCCCTCCTCTGGGGAACGTTCTGTCGCAGGTGGGGCCGCGCCAGCCTCCAGGCCGCTCACCGGCTCCTCCTCTCCCGCAGGGACGCGGGCCCTGGTGCTGCGACTCGGGGCGCTGCGGCTGCTGCTCTTCAAGCTGCTGCTGTTGGACGTGCTGCTGACCTGCAGCCGCCTCCGCGCCCCTCCCGCCGCGCGGGAGAACCCGGCCGGGGCGTCTGGCCCTGGGGCCCCCGGTCTCCCCGCGCCCTCCGAGGTCCCCCAGGCGGATAGCCGCCTCCTCTCGCAGGGACCGTCCGCAGGCCCCGCCGACCGGATTCGCTGCAGTCATGAGGGGACCACAGGCCGAAGTCTCAGCGTGTCCGCCTCGCCGGCGCTGGAGCCCCGGGACCGCCGCCGCCGCCGGGTTCACACCCGCCGTCCCTGCCGGGATCCCAGGAACCCAGTCTGGGGGGGAGGGGCCGCCGGTTCTCAGGGCCTGGAGCTCGGGACCCGCCTTCAGTCTTCCCACCTCAAGCCTTGGAGCATTTCTCTATACTCTGCCTCCTCCAACTGACCCGAGCTTCCCCGGGGGCTAGGCTCCGTCTCCCCTTCAGACTGAGGTTCTTTCTGAGCTAAAAAATCTTTGTCTCTCCGATTAGATTGGAAACCCCTTGAGGGTGGTAATCCACCCAGGCACCAGGACATCTGAGGTGCAGATAGTTGACAACAATTAAAGAACTTATATAACACAAGCAAACAAAAAGTCTTTTAATTAATGTCTGCTCTGGGAGAAGGGTATTTGGCACATTTAGAGGAGGCAGAAATCTGGGAAGGCTGCCTGAGGGTGACAGCCTGGAAAGTGGGCTGGGAGTTAGGGAGGATGCAGTCCCACCTCTGTCTCCTTTCCCCATCATCAGGCACTGGGCAGGCCCCCTCTGTCTCCTCACAGCTGCCCAAACTTTCTGAGAGGTCAGGGGGAGGGGCCCAGGAACCCAGGAAGAGGGTGTGCTGGGCCTGATGTGAAGGCTTGTATAGACTCGAGGGAAATGATCAGGGCCAGGATTCCAGAGTAATGGGATCATATCCAAGGGCAACAGCACTGACAGTAATTCCAAGGGTATACGTCATTAATCAATTAAGATCATTATTCACTTGACAAATATTCACTGAGCATCAACTCTGAGCCAGGCACTAGAGAGGCTTTTGTTTTGTTTCTTCAACAGGGTTTTTGCACTGATAGAATGAGGCTCCCACAATGGAGTGTAACCTGTATGTCCCCTGTTTATCCAGTGCTGGCAGGAAATCCAGGACTCTGGATGACTCTCCAGTCATCACCCCAAGAATCCCTGGATGCTTACATGTGAATTCAGATGTCCCCCAGGGCAGCACAGGACAATTACCTGGATCAATGGCCCTACTGTAGTTTTCCTTCTCCCAAGAGGCAGTGGTGAACTCCATTCTAACACTGCCCCCCGCCCCACACACACACAAGGTGTCAATGACACTCCCAGCTTCCCAGAGCCTCTAAGCCCTCTCAGCTGCTGTTCCATGAAAACCCTCACCTCTCCTCCACTGGACGCTCTCACCAGCCTGTAAGGCTCTCCCACCTCTGTTTTGGATTCTCCAAGAAAGAGGACACAGCTTCTGGGGGTCAATCTGTCCACCAGCCCCACAGGGTCTGCTCCTTCCCTAACACACAGAGGAAGGGGTCGACTGGGTGGGGGCAGGGGCAAAGGCAGACTTTCTACAGTCACTGTCCCTTCCCTGCTCTCAGCCCATGTGTTGAACCCAGAGCTCCCACCAAACTAATTTATGTCTCAGTAAGTCTGCTCTCAGAGGCCCTTTTGTTTATTCTGGAAGCAAACCTCCCTGAGCTTCAGTGCTTCTCCCCCTCTTGCCCGCCTTCCCCCAATCCTGCCCTGCCCCAGACTCTGAATCCCCACTGTGGCTGGCTTAACATCATTTCCCAGGAGGGCTCCTGGCCAGACTTTGAGCTTCCCCAAGTCTTCTGAAGCCTAGAGAGCATGGAGGACCTCAGGACGGTGATCTGATCCTCTATATTGTGGAATTCTACACACCACAGCTCCTGCTATCCAAGAGTGCCCTGTCAGCCACAGAATTGTTAGGAGCAAGAAGCTAAGATCAGAAAACGACAAGTCAACAGACTTGAGCATCCGTCCTTTAAAGTCTTTATAAAATACCATAAATATCCAACCTCCAGGAAGGAAACAGGAGGCACTGGAAACAGGGATTTATGGGCAAAAATGGAAGTGGCAGGCAACCTCCCCGAGAAGCAGCCTTGCTCTGTGTGTGTCCCTAGACCATTGAGCTCAGGGGCAGCATGAAGCCATCCCCCAAAACCCAGAGAGTCCTCTTCCCGATGACACAGCATAAGGAGGTTTCACCCAGCAGCTCCTTGTGCCAAGCGCCCTGATGCCGGGGATGTGGACGGGAAATCAATCGTTCTCTAGTCAAGTCCCTGCCTGTGGGAGTTCAGAATCCAAAGAAATAAATAATAGGCCAGAAAAGGAAGCGAGATCACACACTAATATGAAAGTTAATGCATGAACTTTTTACAATCCTCTCGATAAGCTTTAATTCTATTAACCCGTTCGAGCTTCCCAGGAACAGGTAAGCCTTAAAGGTCAGCTAGGAGGATCACTTTGTTGTCAGATAAAAACTGAGGCTCAGAGAGGAAATTATTTATTCTAGTTACCACCGGGATAAACTTAGGGTTTTATGCGACAGGCGTGTGCATACTCAGTTGTGTCCGCGACCCTACGGCGTTTAGCCTGCCAGGTCCCTCTGTTCAAGGGATTCTGCAGGAAAGAGTAGTGGAGTGAGTTGCCATTTCCTCCTCAAGGGTATCTTCCCCACCCAGGGATCGAATCTGTGTTTCCTGTGCCTCCTGCATTGCAGGCGGATTCTTTACCGTTTGAGCTGTCGGGGAAGCCCAGGGTTACAGGGCACAAAGAAAGCTGCTTGAAGGCAGGGGACTCTGAATCGTCCAGGTCTCATCCACAGCATCTACTAGAGTGACAGTAACAACAAAAGCAATAATAATAATAAGACATAGGGCTGGCTGCCTTATGATCCTAGGGGTAAGTGGCGTGCAAGAAGGCGGAGAAAGCAGTGTAAACTGTCTCTCCCATACCTTTCAGGACCAGAGCGTTGCTTCCTCTCCCTTAATCCTGGTTCTCGAGTCCCTCTCAGAGCCTCCGTTAGGAGGTGGGAAAAGATGTTGCCATAGGTCACCGAGGACACCATCCGTTCCCTCATTGGCCGAGGCCGAAAAAAGATCGTCCTCCCATTCGCTAGAAGGCAAACCCCGAAAAGCCCATTGGCTGCCGAGTCCGCGGGCCTACGTCGTTCTGGGGGCGGGCCAAGGTAGCTGGACTGGGAGCTGGTGTGTTGGGGGGGGGGGGGGGCTCGCCGTTGCCCCGGTTACGCCGAGGCACGTGTGCAGTCCCGGAAGCGGCTCCGGGAAGCTGCCCAGCGCGCGCGGCCGGAGGAAGCACAGCCCCGGTCCGGTCGGGTCGGGTCCGGCTGGGCCATGGAGCCGTTACCTGAGCCCGCGTCCGGGCCCCGACCCAGGCCCCACCGTCTTCTGCTTCTTTCCCTGCTATTGCTGCTGCTGCTGCTACTGCCGGCCCCGGAGTTGGGCCCCAGGCAGGCCCGAGCCGAGGACACCGACTGGGTTCGACTGCCCAGCAAATGCGAAGGTGAGGGGGCGGGGCCCGTGGGGAGTATCCTGCTGGGGGGCGGGGCTTGCGGAGAAGGGTTGGGGGAGGGACCGTCCCGGGCTCTGAGCGGGTCTCCACTCCTGGAACCTCCTCTGTGCCTGGCACTGTGCTGGACGCTGGGAACGCAGGGGCGACCGAGAAATCAGGTCTCGGTGCACCTGGAGCTCAGAAATCGGTGAAAACAAGCAGTCATAATGGAGGTGGTAGGTGCCATGAGAGAGGAGGCGCCGGGCTTTGGGGCTGGGTGAGGAGCATCTAAATCTAGACCCTAGATGCGGGGAAAGACTTCCTCCTGGAAGCCCTGAGTGGTTAGGAGTTAGTCGAGTGAAGAGAAGCGAAGTCACAGATGCAGAGGCCTACAGGCAAAGGACAAATTTGAGGAACTGAAAAGATTCACATGATCGGTCTTGGGGGAAGAACTTGAGACGCTCCCCTTGTGCCCTGACCACAGCCGGCTATGTGTCACCGGCCGTCTCCTCCACTAGCCGTGAGCTCCTCCAGGGCAAGGGACCTTGTCTCAGGTAGCTGTTCACACACAGGCATGAGTGAACGTGGGTGAAGCTGGGGGTGCTGTGGGTGTGTGTGGAGGAAGGAAGAGGGTCTGAGACCTAAGGGGTCACTTTAGGAGAAAAACAGAACCTGGGGGAACTTGGTGAGAGAGGGAGATTTTAGGGATATGGGAAGAGAGTGAATCCCAAAGACAGAGAGGTGGAAGTGTGGCACTTGTGTGCGTGAGAGAGAAACAGAGATACGGAGGGAGAGAGATGGAGAGAGAGAGAAGCATGCCCACACACACACCAGCCAAGGGCCTACCTTTTTTTTCCTCCTCTCCTTTTCTCAGTTATGTCCTCAGACCTTTACACACACTCCTACGTTCTGTTCTCACCTCTCTAACCCCAGCCCCTCACCCCTGAAAGCTGGCTATAAACCAGTTGCATCCTAATTCAAAGCCTGTAGCCAGCCAGATATTTCCTGAGTGCTGGGAAGTGTGGGTGGTTTGGGAGGCATAATCCTTCCATTTGAGAGATTAAAGGTGATCTTCAGAGATGAGCTGACCTCACTGGGTCAGTCTTCCAGTATGGGTTCTAGCCTGTACTTTCTCCCTCACTATCTTGAACAGACAGTCACAGGGTTATAATGCCTTCCTTTCACTCTTCTGGCCACAGCTAAGATCCTTTGGGGATTTCACTTCCCCTTCTCATTTTCTATCTTATTTTGATGCCAAAGAGCCCTTATGGTTTCTCTTATTGTTCTCACAGCCTAAGAAGCTCACACTTCTTTTCCATAGGAGACTCATAAAAGCATAGAGCTGGCAAAAATCTTTAGATCATTCTAATCCAACCTGATTTTGTAGGTAATTGATAAAGAATAAAAGGGATGGCTTTTCAGTCACGGGATGGCTTAACCTAAGTGTATTTTTACTTTTATTTATCACTGTGACACCTTAGTTGTTAAGTGTTGACTGGCCCACAAAACCTGCCTCTGGCTTAGTAGCTTGAGTGGAAGAGGCCTTGGCAGAGGAAAGAGAACCTGCCCAGAAAGAAGTGGGTGGATGTTCATGGGGATCTGGGGTCTATGCCATGAGTCTCCTCCAAGTCTGGTTCTGGGTGGGATCCCCAGAGGGGGTCTTGAAGAGGTAAGCTCTGGAAGAGTTGAGAAGCAAGGTTGTACTTGATGGATATAAGAGATATGGATTGATGGGTTCCAACCCCCCGGGCCTGGCATACTACATATTGAGCACCTGGGAGAGGTGGAGCATTGGAGTCAGAAAAATGATGAGCTCGCACAGAATGCAGGACAGAAGAGGGTAGGAGCCTCGATGGTCCTGGATGGAGAGCCAGGGAGGTGAGACACTCTCAGTTCATCCCAGACTCTGGGATCAGTGGCTGACATTTTGGAATCTTCATGTGTTCCAAGTTCTCCAAGCCATCTATTAATGCATATGTTATAAAATTTCACCAAGCAGGCCTGCAGGGGATTTGTTTGTTTCAGTGGTAAATTGGTTTTCTATCCAACTCTGCTGTTGTTAAAACAATGCTGTTGACATTTAGCCTGCAGATCATATTCCATTCGGAGGCATCAGAAGCTGCTCAATCACAAGGCACAGTCTCTCCGGGCAGTATTTATCAAGTATCCAGCACATACCAAGTCCCAAAATAGAGGAATAAGGAAGAAATCCAGCCCATGATCCTCACTTAGAGTGCCCTTGTAGTCTAATTGGAGAGTCACATGAGATGATCAAGGCCCTTGGTGAGAACATGGTCCTACAGAGTCTCAGGATGAAATCAAGAGCAGGTGGGACTCATCCAGAAGGGCTTCCTGGGGGAGCAGGCTTTTAAGATGAGGTGGAGAGAAAGGACAGACAGGCCCTAAAGCCCTAGAGGGCATCATGCACTTCCCTAAGGCCCCAAGCACTGCACACTTTCAGTGGTAGCACTCCTTATGCAACAGTAATTATTTGTTTACACTTCTTTCTGCTCCATTAGACTGAGTATCTGGGAGGGAGGGACCTTGTTTTCCTCTCTGTATCCCCAGGCAGTGCCTGACACATAGGAGTTGCTTAATAACTATTTGAAGAAGAGTAAGAGGAAATGAGAAAATAAATGTACAAAAACAGTAGAAACAGGCCTGTGGGGGGAAATGGAGCAAATTAACTTGGTAGGACTAGAGAACTGGTGTTGAAATAACATATGAAATCAAGAAATAAAACAGCCATAAAAGACATCTTGGAAACAATTGGGGAATTTGAACATGAAGTGAGTATTAGATGAGATAGGAATTGTTAAATTTTCCAAGAATGGTGATTGTTTTATGATTAGTAGGGGAAGGTCCTTGTTTTCAGGAAGTGCTCGATGACTTGTTTAGGAGCAAAGATCATGATGTCTTGCAGCTTATTTTCAAAATGGTTTATCAAAAGCTGTGTATATTATTGACATCTATTATTATCACATTGCTTTATATTATAAATCGGAAATAGTGGTAAATCACTGTTGTGGTTTTTTTTTTTTTTTACTAATAGCTCTTTCTGTTCTCTTTTTCTTTCTTTTTTAATTTATTTTTATTCTTTTTGACTAACAACTCTTGACTGTGAGTGTAAGGTATATGGTTATTCATTGTACTCTTTCAGGTTTTCTATATATTTGAAATTCTTTTCAGTGACATAAATGATGGTGGGGGTGGGGGGCAGGAAGGGGCTGGGAGAAATGGAAGGAAGCAGTAGGATAAGGGCCCAGAGATGACAGGGGACAGTGGATCTTGGAGCCTACTTTCACCCACTGAACTCTACTGCTGGTCTGGTGCTGACTCCTTTCTCTGCCCCAAGCATCAACTCAACCCAGTCCTGGAGAGGCGTCCGCTTGGGTCTGTTTTGCTGGGAGCCAGCTCCCTGCAAAGACTCAGATGCACTCAGCAGGTGGTGCTGTGTCTTCTTCCCCCAGTGTGTAAATATGTCGCCGTGGAGCTGAAGTCAGCCTTTGAGGAAACTGGCAAGACCAAGGAGGTGATCGACACAGGCTATGGCATCCTGGACCGGAAGGCCTCAGGCGTCAAATATACCAAGTCGTAAGTAGAGGAGAGGGCAAGCGGCAGCAGCCTGCTCTGCTTTGTTCCTTGAGGCATCAGCATCTTGAAGTTCCCTCTCCCTTCCCGCTAGGCAGACCCACCAAAAGGAGGCAGCTCTAACTGAGACCCAGGTTTGCCTACTGCTTCTACCCTGAACTGATTGTATGGCCTTCCTAAATCCCCAAGTGCCTCTGGGCTTCACATCCTTCATCTGTAAAATCAAGACTATTGGACCTCACCAGTGACTCCCAGTGATTGGAATTTATGGACCAGTCTTTAAAAATATAGGATTGCTGGGAAATTCCCTGGTGGTCCAGTGGTTAGGGCTGGACATTTTTTTACTGCCATGGCCCAGATTCAATCCCTGGTCAGGGAACTAAGATCCTGCAAGCTGCTCAGTGCAGCCAGAAAAAAACAGGCTTACCAACTTTTAATCTTGCTAGGTATAAATATTAAAAACAAACCAAAAAGCTTTTCCATCAACTATGATCATCCTTTCAAAATGAAACAATATCTCGACATCAAATATCCATACATTTTGCTTTTTTTTTTTTAAATCTAGCTAATCATTTAACTTTATATTTAAAACAACAACAACAACTTTCTTTCATAGAGCTGTTAAAATTGTGTCTCTCTGGTCTGTGTTCCAGCATTTCAGAGCCCCCCCGATGACCTATCTCCCTCCCAGCTCTGCCTTCCCGTTGGTGAGCCGTGCAGGTGCCGGGGTAGCAGGGCTGGAGGGCTGGACCCCTAACCCGCAGGGTCGAGGAGGGGAGCTCAGGCAGGGACTGTGTTGTGCTGCTGTCTCGGCAGGGACTTAAGGTTAATCGAAGTCACGGAGACCATTTGCAAGCGGCTCCTGGACTACAGCCTGCACAAGGAGAGGACCGGCAGCAACCGATTCGCTAAGGTTGGCTTTGTATACGCCCTTCCTCCCCGCTGGGCCCGGGCTTCGGGGTTCAATGTGTCCCCTGGTCTGGGTGCCATCGGAAGATCATGCCCTGGGAGCTTCCCTTCTCGGCAGCTCCCTGTTCTTTATCCACTGCTGTTTGCATCCCTCCCATCCTGAGCGGCCTGACTTTTCAGTGCCGGTGGGCACATTCTTGATGTCTGGGCCTGCCCCCTGGGGTCCTGCCTCAGCCTAGGACAGAAACGCTCCCAGGTGGCAGCCCCCTGGGGGCCAGAGCACTTTGTGCGGGGAGAACTCAGGATGCGCAGATCTGTGGGAGTTTAGAGGAGATGTCAGAAAACTCTTGGGGAGGGGGTGATGACTGCCATGTCCCTTCTCTGGGTCCACAGGGGCCCTACCTGGACCTCCATCATGATGCCTTTATGACATTTATTGCACTCACCATGTACATGAATGCTTCTTTCACTGTAGATGAGTTTCCTTGCAGCAAGGCCCATGTTTCCTTTTTTTTTCATTTTCCCTTGTGCTATTTACTTTTCTATCCGCAAAAGAAAGGTGCATGAATGTGTGAAAAAATAAAGTGACTTAGTTTAAGTTCTGATCCAAAATGAGATGTGCGATGGGAAAACAGTTGCGTACAATAGCAATCATGCCCTGGCCCAGGGTTTTAAAGTCCCATCAAAAACTGGATGTCTTCCCTTTCCTCTTCTTTCCCTCTTGCCTCATCTCACACATTCTGCCTGAAGACTGTGTCACATGGATGCAGCGGCTCAGAAGTCAATATATCTGTGTGAGCTCACCACTCATACACAGAATCTACCAGCCACACAATTTCCAGGGTGTAGCTTGACAATAAACTGACAATAAGCTCTCTTCTGTGGCTGAATGATGCCAGGGCTCCTGGAGATTGATAAGATGTCATCCTACCCACCTATCTCCACACCCCTCCCTGTATACCTGTTGCCATGTGTCTTTCCACAAGGATCCAAAGGGGGCTGTGGGGGGTCTGGAGGCTCATATGTCTCCTGTCACTCCTATAAGGGCCCATGTTTCTTTATCTCTGCATCTTCTATGCCTGGTAGAAGAGCTGTCTCCCACATTTCTCCACCTAAGTACCCTTCTAGCAAAGGAGAGCCTTCAGAAACCCTTGGGAAACCTAGAGGAATACTTCTAAGCCACACAAGTCCTAGGTTTTATCTTTATAATTTGTATTAACATTGTACTTGGTAATAAACCCATGTTTAATGTAACAATGTTTAAATTTACTTTCTAGAGCGAAAAAATTAGAAGCAGCCTGACCATGCGCTAGTAGGGGAGTGGTTAAGTAAGTTGGCCATTCAGTGGACTCTTAGGCAAACTGTACAATGAAGAATGAGGTAGTTCTTTATGAGTTGAACTAAAATCACCTCCAAAGTATAGTTGTTTAGTCACTAAGTTGTGTCTGACTCTTTTGCGACCCTATGGACTATAGCCCTCCAGGCTCCTCTGTCCATGAGATTTCCCAGGCAAGAATAGTGGAGTGGGTAGCCGTTTCCTTCTCCAGGGGATCTTCCTGACCCAGGGATGGAACCTGAGTTTCCTGCATTGGCAGGCAGATTCTTTACCACTGAGCCACCCGGGAAGCCCTCTCCAAAGGATATTATTAAGTAAAAAAATGCATGGTGCAGAATAGCGTGTATGATACATACATACAGCTGCTTGTACGGGGGTGGAGGAGAGGCTATTTTTGTGTGTGTAGTGGCTTGTATCCTCATGTGTGGTCTCTGGGAGACAGAAGAAACAGGTAGTGTGTTGTCTCTGTGGAGAAGACCTAGGTGGCTGGCAGAAGTAATTTCGTACAGAACCAAGAGTCTTCCCTGCCTCACCGGTGCTTCTTCCCAGCAAGGAAGGATACATGTGGGAAGAACCAGAAGCAGGGAGTGGCCTGGACACAGGGGAGGCCACAGTGAGGGGAAAGAGACAAGGCCAGTTTATTACCTGGAAAGGAGTATTTGCTCAAAGGGTCCCGAGAGCAACCTTTCCAAGAGGAGGTGTGGGGAGGCAGGACAGGCTGTGTGTGTTGAGGGGTTGTGGGACGCAGGCCTCAAATTGGGGAGGGGAAGGTGAGGATGAGCGTGACGAGAAGCCGGAAAGGGTCCTGACCTTGAGCGGGGTCCCTGGGTCTCCAGCCCCACCAGGAGAGGCACAGGGCAGGGAGGGGAAGGGACTCTGCCTCTCACATCCCATCGCGTCTTCCAGGGCATGTCAGAGACGTTTGAGACGCTACACAACCTGGTGCACAAAGGGGTCAAGGTGGTGATGGACATCCCCTACGAGCTGTGGAACGAGACCTCGGCAGAGGTGGCTGACCTCAAGAAGCAGGTAGGGGCCCCACCGCCCCCAGGGTTCGGTGGGGGCGGGTCCTCGGTTGACGAGGGCCACTGGAAGCCGGGGGACTGTGGTCAAGCCATCTCACCCCACCTCTGGCTGCAGCCTCCTCGCCGGAGTCACAGCCACCAGCCCCGTGGGTGGCGAGACGAGGCTCAGGCTCTCCCGGCTCCTCCGGGAGGGGTCAGGGCCGGGCTTTGCCAACATGAGGCCTTGCGGTTAACAGTGCGACGTCCTGGTAGAGGAGTTCGAGGAGGTGATCGAGGACTGGTACAGAAACCACCAGGAGGAGGACCTGACTCAGTTCCTCTGCGCCAACCACGTGCTGAAGGGCAAGGACGCCAGTGAGTCCGAGGGCCCTCCCCGCTATTGTTTGCTCTCCCTCTGGGGAGGTGGGTGAGGAGAGGATGGAAAAGAAATAAGAACTGGGGGCGTTGTAGCCTCCGTCCTCAGGGAACTGGATGGTACAGGGCGGGGTCAGGGCCTGGTGCCTCAGATGCCCCCCAGATGGGCCCGGGGGGCCACAGCGAGGCAGGGCTGGGGCCAGATCCCATCACCGCCCCCAGGGGCTCTGCAGCCCCAGCTCCCCACCCAGCCAGCCAGCCTGTTGAGGGTGTCTGTCCTCCTCCCCGCAGGCTGCCTGGCAGAGCAGTGGTCTGGCAAGAAGGGGGACACAGCCGCCCTGGGAGGCAAGAAATCCAAGAAGAAGAGCGGTCGGGCCAAGGCTCTGGGTGGCGGCGGCAGCAAACAGAGGAAGGAGCTGGGCGGCCTCGAGGGAGACCCCAGCCCCGAGGAGGATGAGGGCATCCAGAAGGCTTCCCCGCTCACACACAGCGCCCCGGATGAGCTCTGAGCCTAACCTAGCGGCTCCTGCTGACCGAGAGCCTGAGCTGGGAGCCGAAGGGTCTGGGGCCCCTGGCTCCCGCAGGCGCAGCAGCGCGGGGCCTCAGCGGTGCCTGCCTGGCCGGTGCCGCCTCCTGCCATGGAAACTCCAGCCCCGGGAGAACTCGGATCAGCCGCGGGCAGCCCGGGCCAGCCTCTTCCCTCTGCCCAGCGTTCCTCTCCCGACCCAGACTTCAGGCGGGCCCCATAATCTCAGGACTGCCGAGGACTCCGGTGTGAACTCTGGTGGGCAGGTGTCGAGCTGGACCCGGGACTGGGGCTCCAGAGCCCCCCACCCCCTTGCTCCTCCAGCACCAGCTCCTCCTCTCCGCATCCCCTCTTCCTGTGGACACCTTGTGCTCTGCCCGGCCCTCCCCTGGGGCTCACAGAGTAAAAACCTTTTGGCCTTTTTCATTCAGATTTCTGAGTCCCCTTCAGCTGCTCAGAGGGGCCGGAGCCCCCTGCCACTCTTTCCTGCCCCCTGCTCCCACCGTGGGCTGAGGATGGGAGGCTGTTCTGAAACCTGCTAGCCGTGGGGAAAGCAGGTGCAGGGAGGGCCCCGGGGCTGTGGCTGGGGTGAGGGCCGGGCCTCGGGAATGGGGTGGGCATCGTGCCCCGGCCCTGGCCCTCAGTTGCCTGTGGTCTCCCTGAGCTGCTCAGGCCTGGAGCACCGCCCTCTCTCCTTCCTGGCCTCCCGCCTCCCCTCTCCCCTCCAAGGCCTTCCCGTTGGTTGTGTAAAGTGAGCCCAGTGACCCCACCAGCCCCAGCCCTTCCTCTCCACGTCCTGCCTCTTGGCTTCTGGCCTCTTGGTCTTGACCCTTGTTCCCTGATGACCACACCTGACCACTCTGCGCTCCCTAGCCCTTGTGCCAGGAACCCACAGGGAAGGACGGCCAAGCCCCCAACAACACCGGTTACACCATGTTCTCTGGGAGCAGGGGACGAACAGCAAGGCTGGCCTCTGAGGAGAAGGGGTGGGAGGCACCTCCCGGTCTGTCCTGAGGGCAGAGATCGGTGGTGGCGTCAGAAGCAATAGTGATGACGGCTGCGGGTAGTCCGTGCTTTAACCCTACAGGTGCCCCAGACTCCAGCTTCTGGCAAAAATGCTCTGGGGTCCCCTCCCCAGGGCTGGGGACAGCCAGGCCACAGAGAGTGGAGCAGACTGGAAGCTGCTGCTGCCCTGAGTCATGAGGCTTGGAACAGGCCCTGAGAGGATGATTCTTTGTGGTCTAGTGACCCCCCCGCCAACTGCGGTGCGGAGACTGTCCCCATGTTGGAGGGGCTGTGGGCAGAGAAGCCACTCTAGACTCTGGTCCCATCCTGGACTCTGTTCTGAGTGTAGATGACTGGGGAGAGGTCAGGCATTGGAACTCAGGGCTAGGGAACCATTTGCAGCCCCCTGGACTGTCTACAATTTGGTGGCCAGTCTCTGACTCTCCCTTTCTGTCACTATTCCACAGCTCCAGTGCTTGGCTTAATTTTGTCCCCAGAGCTTCACTGTCCTGTGAATAGGATGAGACAAAGACCAGGAGCCCAATCCCAGGCCTAGGCTGGGACTGGAGGGAGGGCAGCGTGGTGACTGCTCTGCTCTTTGACCTGTGGCTGCTGGAGGATGAGCGCCCTCACCCACACCCCGCACCCCCCACCCCCTGTCCCCACAAGGCCAGGCATGTTGCACACTCTAGTTCTCTTCCCACCCACCCACCCACCCTAGCAGGCAGCTTCTCCCTGGCCCAGCCTAGGAAAGAAAGCAGGATCCACTTTCCAGGTTTTCCTTTCCCTCTCCCCACCACACATACCAGCCTTTCTGAGCTTGACTATAGCCTCCCACTTTCCCACAACCCTTCTCTCCATAAGGTGAGGGGTCTGGCTGAGCTTCAGTGAACCAGGATGGTTTCTACCCTCACGTGGACCTAAAAGTCACTTGGATGCTTGTCAGACAGATGTCTGGGTGCCGCTCAGACTTGCCAGTCTGGGGATCTAGGAGTCGGCATGGCTGTTAGGAGGAGGTCGGCTGGAACCCACTTCACCAGGAGGAATTTGGATGTTGTGTTAAGAGGGGCCGGGACCTCAATGAAGCCACACTGGAAGGAAGTCTTGTCCTCAGAAACATGAATTGTCAGCACCTTAGAGAGGATGTGTTGAAGACTTCTGTCATCCAGAACCTCAAAGGCTAATGGACTAGCCACAAGTCCAGTTTGTTCAAGTTCAGCGACAGTCAAGTCTCAGGGGATGGGGCACTGTAGGCTCAGAAGTGGCTGCCTCAGGGCCCCTGTGTATTTGTTTGAAGCCACAGCTCCTAGGAGGCAGGCTCCTCTTTATTTCCAAGTCCCTGGGTGGTGTTTCCCTGCAACACCTTTTTGCAACTTAGCGGTGCTTTTCACACCTGTGACTCCCCTCTGTCAGACAGTTGTTTTAATAAAAGTTTTGTTAGAATAAGACACTTGACTGCCAGAATTCCTGCCAGAAAATGATAAATAAAGCCCCTGAGGTTTGGAGTTTTGAGTGGAAACCCCTTAAATGCAGAAACTTTGTGCAGTTCACAGCTTGTCCACACGTCAGAGCAGCCCTAAATCACTTTAGTTCACAAGTACAAGCAAAATTCCTCTTCTTAGTCTTTGATCCTGAAAGAAAAGCACATTTTTTTTCTTGACAGATGCACAGTCCATGCCTAACTGGTTTAAGGATGGACTCTGTGTACTAATCCTAGCGGCAGAGCCAGCAGAATCCCTCTTGACCATCACCTGATGGCCTGGTTTGTACTATTAAGGAATTTCACTGGAACAATAATAATATAGTAGCCACTTTTTTTGAATGCATATTATCGTGGCAAGCACCACTCTACATGCTTTTACATAATTAACTCATTTAATACAGCTGTGATCTACACAAGGCCATGGAGTTTTAAACATTATTGAAGAATAATAAAATATACAAAGTACCTATATCAAAATGTACAGTTCAATGAGTTTTTATGAACTGAATATCAAAATCAACCAGCAGGAAGATCACAAAACACTATTACCAGCACCCCCACACATTCTACAAAAAGAACAGGGATTTTGGTCTACTTTGTTCACTGCTCGATCCCCAGTGATTAATACAGCCCCCGTCACGAGTAGCTGCTTCCCCCCAGCTCCCTGCCACCCTACAGGGCTCATGGGATCTTAGTTCCTCCACCAAGGATGGAACCCAAGCCCTCGGCAGTGAAAGCTCAGAGTCCTAACCACTGGACCACTGGGGAATTCCCAGAGTAGCTACTTAATAAAATATCTGTTGAATGAGTGGAGCACAGAAAGTTCAAATAATTTGCCCAGACCACACATTTAGGAAGTGAGCCAACCAGGTTATGAACCCAGAAAGAATGGCTTCAGTGTCCTGTGGTACAGCCTCTGATAGAGCTTTGCAGCCACAGCTGGTTGACTCATCCACCCTCCTGCCCTTCACCTGGCTCTCCAGAAGGTAGACCAGTTGCTGTCCAGTAGTCTATTTATGTCTTCAGAGTTTAAGGCTGGACATGCAGTTAAAAGTGAATTAACCTTCAAGTCTTTCTCCCTGTTCAAAATTTACAGTTGTGTGTATAGCTTAAAGGCAGCTCGGGGGCTTCCCTGGTGGCTCAGTGGTAAAGAATCCGCCTGCATGTGCAGGGGAGACAGGTTCGATTCCTGATCTGGGAAGATCCCACATGCTGTGGAGCAACTAAGCCCGTGCACCACAGCTATTGAGCCTGTGCTCGAGAGCCCAGGACCCGCAACTACTGAGCCCTCGTAATAAAGTGCTGAAGCCTGAGTCCCCTAGAGGCAGTGCTGCAGAACAAGAGAAACCACCGCGGTGAGAAGCCCCTGCACTGCAACTGGAGAAAAGCCAGCAACGAAGACCCAGCGCAGCCAAAAATGTATATCATTTCCTTAAAAAGGCAGCTTGACCCTTATCGCTGCCCTCAAGGGCTGACTTCTTACAATTTCTTTAAAAGGAATCCAATTTTACTCATTCTTTAAAAGCGTATTCTCCACCTGTTAAACTTCCACTGAAATGGTTGTGATTCTCTACTGGGAGGTGTAGATGCACCCGAAGATGGGAGAAGTTGACCAACTGCATCACCAGCTCCAGGGGTGGTAACATCTCCTAACATCATCACTTTTCTAAAGTAGAAAAGGTTCTCTGTCTGGGGGGGAAAAAAAAGCAAGACACTCAAAAGCCAGGTGTTATTTTTTAATTTATATGTATTTATTTATTTGTTTTTGGCTGCATTGGGTCTTTGTTGCTGCATGCGGGCTTTCTCTAGTTGCAGGGCTCAGGCTTCTCACTGTGGTGGTTTCTTGTTTCAGAGCATGGGCTCTAAGGTGTGTAGGCTTCAGTAGCTGTGGTTCACTGGCTTAGTTGCCCAGCAGCGTGTGGAATATTCCTGGACCAGGGATCGAACACACATCCCATGAGTTGGCAGGCAGATTCTCAACCACTGGGCCACCAGAGAAGTCCCCAGGTGTTATTTTGTTAGAACTGCTCACCAAAGTGGTCTTGGTATTTTATTATTCCTTTCATCAACATGTGACAGCACGTGCCCAGTCACCTGTTTTGGGGAGCAGTATGTTACCAGGGCTCAAATGTATGTCATTTTTACATGGGAGAGCAGCTCAGTGAATTTCCTGGTGGTCCATAGTTAGGACTCTGAACTGCCATTGCCAAGGGCCTGGGTTCAATCCCTGGTTGGGGATCTAAGATCCCACAAGCTGCAAAAAACTAAAGAACAAAACAAACAAACAAACAGAAAATAATAATTTTAAAAAATCCAAAAAAAAAATCCAGATCAGTGAGATCAATATATTCATAAGAGATTTTACTGGAGGTTAGCACATTGATGAAATACTCATAGATGCACTAAGCTTAATAGTAATGTAACACCATCAATTAGTGTTACCACCCACCAATATAGGGACCAATTTTACACTTACTTGATGGGACTTTATTAAAGCAGGTTGAGTCTTACATCATATATTGAAAAGGCTAAGAAAGGATCCACTGTGATAAAAATCCATTAGCAGACTTCATGTGGGCATCACAGTGGTAAATCTGGGTTGTCAGCAGAGAAGATTTCTTTTCAGCAGCTTGAACTAGAGTTTGGAAATCGGCATCCCTCCTCTGAACAATGAATTTCTACCTGTTCTAAATCAAAACAAAGACATCCAGAATGTCTTCCATTTGTAGTTACTGTATATAATTCCAACCCTAAGATTTTAATGTGTCCTTAAATAGGTATAGTCTTAGAATTTGTTCCATTGCAGCCATATTCCCAACCTAGAATCTCTTTTTAAACATATTATACATTTGGGGGGGATTCCCAGATGTCTCAGTGGTAAAGAATTCACCTGACAATGCAGGAGCCTCAAGAGGCGCATGTTTGATCCCTGAGTCAGGAAGATCTCTAGAGGAGGAAATGGCAACCCACTCCAGTATTCTTGCCTAGAGAATCCCATTCTTATTTTCAGCTGAGTCAAACTATAAATTGGTTTATATTCTATGACTTTCCTCCTCGGCCCAGGGCCTCAGATTTGGGTTATCTAAAATTCACAGTGACTAACCAAGTAAAATAAAAGGCAGTTTTGATATATTTCAGTGGGCAGAGGACATGGACAAATAATTTAGCAATGAAGGACTGCAATTACTTGGTACATTTTGGTGGTAATTAAAGATTACAACAATTAGGTATAATTTTCTACCCAGTGAGATATCCATGAATAATATCTTCATGTAGAGAAGCATTGAAACAAATATTTGTTTTAGGTGACAGTATCAATTAATAGAAAAATTCCATTTGGAAAATGATTCCATCATAACCATCTACATGTTCACTCTTTTGAAAAATTATGAGCGCATTTTAAATGCTCATAACATGGGGAGTGATTAAACAAGTCACAGCACATCCTCTCAGTGTAGCCAAAAATGATGCTTAAGGCCAGCAATTTATGGTCAAGAGAAGAAAGAATGCTTTTGACAGTTAAAAGTAAAAAGAAAGAAAGCAAAAAGGTCTATGAAATTTTACATGTACTCTGATCTTGACTTTTTAAAAAATGCCTCTGAATGAGAAAAAAATCAAATAATTACTAACTTCAGAACAAAAATCTTATCTTTGAAATGAAAAGTATATTTATAAGCTATAATTTTTAATAAACTATATATTTAAAAAAACCCAAATTTACTATCAGCATCCATATTATTTTTTAAAAAATTCTATTATAAACTCCCCAGTACAATGTCTTTCTAAGCATGTGGCCAAAGATCTATCTGTAGCGTGGTGTGAGCACAAGACTCCACTACCTGCAAATGGGCAGGCCCATTTGAGGTGCTTTGTGTGTTGATATTTTCTGTTGAAAGGTAAGAAGGATTACACACCTTTGGAGTTCCTCCAGCTGCAGGATTATATAGATGGTAGAAGTGGGAGGGGAGTGGAGGGTCCTTTGGCTCTTTATTTCGTTACTGTGTGTTGGCCGCTCTTTAGTTGCAGCCTGTGAGCTTCTCATTGTGGCAGCTTCCCTTACTGCGGAGCACAGGCTCCAGGTAAGTGGGCTCTAGTTGTGGCTGAAGGAGGAAACAGAACAGGCTCCATCTTGAAAGCCGGACTCCATTTTGGGCCGGACTGTGGACTTTGAGCTATATGCCCAGTATCTATGGAAACGACATACCAACTGGAAAACTGGGCCCCTGGAAGGAAGAGCCCCAGGGCTCTCCATCGCCTAAAAGAATACCCTAATTATCTGTGTAACCGAATAGAATCATACATTCTATTATGTTTAATGGGGTATGACCACAAGCCTATTGATAATTGTCCATTGTTAACTATCTAGGCTTAAGGCTTATGTATCACGGGTTAACTTTGATTGTATCTTTCTTTTTCCTTTGTTCAGACTAGTTTCAGGAAATTTTGGGGAGGTGGGTTTGGGCGCGTACACTTAGGGTATATAAGGTTTTCACAAAAACTGGTCAGGGTCCTTGACCAAGAGGAGACTCTGCCTTGGGCCCGCTGGTGTAATAAACTGCACTCCACTGTCTGCATTGTCCTTCTGAGTGAATTTGCTTCCAGGAATGACTACAACATGGCCCAGGGGCTTAGTTGCCCTGAGGCATGTGAGGTCTTCCCAGATCAGAGATTGAACCAGTGTCCCTTGCATTGCAAAGTGGATTCTTTTTAGTATATGTGCTGCCGAAGCAAGCACTGCTAGGCGGATTCTTAATCACTAGGGTTAGAAGCCCCATCCTGGCTCTTTCTGAACCCAGAAGAACAAAGCCAGGTGGGGAAGGCTGTTCTTGCTGTCTTGGGGTTCCCTGGGTAGCATCATTTTTCTGGGCACCATCCATCTTAGTGCAGGGTCTTGTCCCAGGAAGAGACCTTCTGCTTTGGGAAGGAAGGTTGAATGTACACTAATCAAGGCAAAAGACCAATTTATGAAATGACAACGAACAATGTGATAGCAAGAGCACTGGACACTCCCAGCCCTGACCCTGGACTTCCCACACTGTGGGCACCTCCGTGGAAAGCAGTTGGTCTTTAGAAGGGCGCGTGGTTGGAGAGGAATTTGAATCAGACTGCATCTGAGGCGTTTAGAAAAGGCTTGATGCCTCACCTGCAGGATAGAGGAGCGCCTGCCCCCAGCCGGGTGGAATTAAGCCAGAACCGCTCCTGGACTCGAATAGCCGAGCCAGCATTATCCCCCTTCCTTCCTTCCCTAGCTGACCAGGCCCTCCTTCAGCTGGACAGTCCTTCTTTAGATATGCTAATACCTTTTTTTCTCCCCCTGCAACGAACAGTTCAGCCCTGGGCGCTCAACTCTGCTCACTCAAGTTTCTTTCCAGCCTGGGGCGAGGGTGGAGCGGGCATTCTCACTGCTACCCTTCTCCTGCCCCGCCTCCCCGGCCCTCCAGCGACCCGGGTTGAGTGGGCCGGGGCCTTGGGAGGGTCCTTTCCAGCCGAGGGATGGTCCGGAGGGCCGGATCTTCAGGCGGGCGGGTAGGGCTCTCCAGGATTGCCAGGCCGCGCCCTCCCCGCGGCCCCGGGCCGGGAGCCCGGCAGGGGCGTGTCCGCGCGCTCACCTGCCATTGGGCAGGTGGGGCGGCCGGCGCTCCGGCAGGGGCCGCGTTATAAATGCGGAGCCGGAGCCGGAGCCGGCGGCGGCGGCGGCGGAGCCAGACGGGTCGAAGGATGGTGGACAGCGTGTACCGGACCCGCTCCCTGGGGGTGGCGGCTGAAGGGCTCCCGGACCAGTACGCGGACGGAGAGGCGGCGCGCGTGTGGCAGCTCTACATCGGGGACACCCGCAGCCGCACTGCGGAGTACAAGGCCTGGCTGCTCGAGCTACTGCGCCAGCACGGCTGCCAGCGGGTGCTCGACGTGGCCTGCGGCACCGGGTGAGCGCGGCGGGGCCCCAGGGGCCGCAGTGAGCGCAAGCGGGGCGCGGGCAGGGGACCCGGGAGAGCGGGTACCCGGGGCACCGAGCGGATGGGGTCGGTTTGGCCGGGGCAGCCGGGCCGCAGGACCACGGGCGGGCACGTCGGGGCAGCCTCCTCCGCCGTCCCGGGAGCCGGGGCTGGGGCGCGACGCCAGGGCGGGGAATGAGTGTTTGCCCAGGCAGAACGGGCAGGACGGGGCCGAGGAGACCCAGGATGAGAGCGAGGGTGTGGGCACAGCGGATGGGGAAGGCGGGTTCGCCAGGGCGGCGGCCCAAGGACCGGGTTTTGGGGCCAGCCTCACATAAGGTCGAATCTAGCTCCAGCGGCAGCGTTCACACTTAACACTTGTTCAATGTGATGTGTTTCTGCCACATCAGTTTTTAAAATCCTTACAAAACTCCGTTTGGTAAGCAGTGATAGCTATTTACGGTTGCAGAAATTTGGCCTCAGAGAGGTAAAGGTGGAACAAAGATGTGGACCCAGGTTGGTTAAGGTCTGGCTTGTGCTCTGAACCACCATCTGGCAGTTCCCTGGTGGCCTAGAGGTTAGGACTCTGAGGTTTCACTGCCCAGGGCCTGGGTTCAATAGCTGGTGGGGGAACTGAGATCCTGCAAGCCTCATGGGACTGCCAAAAACAAAAAGAAAAAGACCCACCATGCTACACTACCTCCTGTGCTCCAGTTACTTAACTTGCAGGAGCTTCAGTTTGCCCCATCTCTCAAATAGGGATAACATCACCTACCTTACTGGATTGCCATGAGGATTTTTTTTTTAATTACTTATTTTTGCTGTACTGAGTCTTCACTGTGGGGCACAGACTTCTCTCGCTGTAGTATGTGGGATCTTAGTTTCCCTACCAGGGATCCAGCCTGGGCCCCCTGCATTGGGAGTGCAGAGTCTTATCCACCGAACCACCAGGGAAGTCCCTGGATTGCCATAAGGATTAACTGCACATTTGTACAATACCTGACTTGGTGCTGAGAAACAAAAAAGAAAAGTTACCACTGGGTGATAAGAAACATATTTGGCAGGTCACTTGAGGTCAGTGGAGAGAGCCTGGGGATAGAAAACAGAGGAGTGGACTCTGAAGAGTGGAGGGGACAAGAGTGTCCAGCACAGGGCCTCCTCTTTGCCTTTCCAGGCCTCCCTGATTGCCCCTTTCTGTCATTCCTGGTCCTGGCCAGGGTGGACTCCATCATGCTGGTGGAAGAGGGCTTCAACGTGACAAGCGTGGATGCCAGTGACAAGATGCTCAAGTATGCTCTCAAGGAGCGCTGGAACCGGAGGCACGATCCTGCCTTTGACAAGTGGGGTACGTGGGTCCGGCCAGGTGTCCTCAGTTCTCCCTACCCTGGGCTCCTTTATCAATCGTGGTGGGGAGCTGTTTTCCTCAAAGGAGGAAATCACTGTCATTTCCCTGAAAAGGGAGCCTTACACACCAGAATGAGGGACTAGTTTTTATTATGTTTATAGTGTCCTGTGAGAGTCACTCAGTTCGTGTTTGACTGTTTGCGACCCCATGGACTATACAGTCCATGGAATTCTCCAGGCCAGAATACTAGAGTGGGTAGCAGTTCCCTTCTCCAGGGGATCTTCCCAAGCCTGGGATCGAACCCCGGTCTCCCACATTGCAGACAGGTTTTTTTTTTTTTTAATCGACTGAGCCACCAGGGAAGCCCATCTTGGACAGTGGGCAGTGTGCTGTCCCCCCAAATAAAAACCCATGAGCACAGAGCCCTCCTTCCCAACCATGGTTTCCTCTCCCCTGGGCCCCTCATCCCCTTTACCCTCCATGTCCATAATGATCCCCTCCCCCTGACCGGATGGGGAGTCCCTGTGTGTGTCTTGAAGGGGAAACTGAGGCAGGACTGCCCTTGGTGGAGGTGAGTGCCTCCCTGATCCCCCTTCCCCTCCCTGGCCCCCAGTCATTGAAGAAGCTAACTGGATGACTCTGGACAAAGATGTGCCCCAGCCACCAGGGGGTGGCTTTGATGCTGTCATCTGCCTTGGAAACAGTTTTGCCCACTTGCCAGACTGCAAAGGTGAGAGAGGGTGGCCTGGGAGTGGAACCTGCTTTGAACTATACCCTTTCCAGACCCCTGGGGAGGAGAAAGACGGGAGGGATACTGGTACTGGGGGCCCTGAGCAGACGCAGCCTCTCTGTTCCCACCTGGTTCAGGGGACCAGAGTGAGCACCGGCTGGCCCTGAGGAACATTGCGAGCATGGTGCGGTCAGGGGGCGTGCTGGTCATTGATCACCGCAACTACGACCACATCCTCAGCACAGGGTGCGCACCCCCAGGAAAAAACATCTACTATAAGGTGGGGCCCCTGGGCAGGGCAGGCCCAGGGCGGGAGGTGTGATCCTGGGGTCCCAGCCTCATGGTAGTTGCAGAGGTTGACACAGCTGGCAACACTGCCTGCAGAGTGACTTGACCAAGGACATCACGAAGTGGGGCCGGGGCTCTGTTGCAGTAAGTTCCGGCTCTCCTACTACCCTCACTGCCTGGCATCCTTTACGGAGTTGCTTCGAACAGCCTTCGGGGGCAAGTGCCAGCACAGCGTCCTGGGCGACTTCAAACCTTACAAGCCGGGCCAGGCCTACATTCCCTGCTATTTCATCCATGTGCTCAAGAAGATGGCCTGAGCAAGCCCTCGGCTCCCTCCCTCTGGGGAGGAGGGGACCGGTGGCCCCTTCGGTGCGGATCCTGGGGGTGTGGGGAGGGGCAGACTGCCGCTGGGCTCAGGAGGACGGAAAGCTGAACAATACAGTCTGTGCCTGTTCAGGTCCTGTTCCCCTTGTGTTCATGTCAGAAGGATGAGGCTCTGGGGCTTAGCACCTCCACAGCCCTGCTCGTCCCCACACCGACCTTTCAGACTGCAACTCCAGCAGGGGGCAGCACACACTTTATTTTCAGGCCCAAATGGGGCTTCCCTGGTGGCTCAGGTGGTGAAGAACCCGCCTGCAATGCGGGAGATTTGGGTTTTGATCCCTGGGTTTGGAAGACCCCCTGGAGAAGGGAACAGCTACCCGCTCCAGTATTCTGGCCTGGAGAATTCCATGGACAGAGGAGTCTGGCAGGCTACAGTCCAACGGGTCGCAAAGAATCGGACACAACTGAGTGACTTCCATAGTTCCCACCGGGGCTTTCCCTCAGGACCTGACCCCTCCTCCTGAGCAGAGAGGCCTGAGGGTTGGAGCTGGCCTGGAGGGCAGACAGGTCCGAAGAGGGTGCGTCCTGAGCTCTCCTGGGGCTCCTGATGGCACTTAGCACCCAGGGGGTTGCCCGGAGGTAGGCAGCGTTCAGGTGGGCGGGCGGTGGCATTTGGTCTCTCAGGGCTCCGTGAGCCCCTGTGGGCAGGTCCCAGGTAGCAGGGGGCTCCTAGCAGGCGGCAAACTTGCGTTGGATACGCTTGTACCGGAGCAGCTCGTGCTCGCTGACCGAGGGCTGCAGCCGGGCCGCGGCCTGCAGCAGGTCCTCCATGGTGAGCAGCAGGGCTGAGCTCCCGGGCTCCAGGCCTGGGGGTGACAAGGGGAGGTGAGGACAGCTAGGGCATGGATGCTGTGGTCTCTGCCCGAGCAGGGGAGCACCCTGGGTAGGCACCTTCTTGCCCGAGTCCCCCAGGGGTCAATAGACCGTCCTCTGAAATCCAGAAGCAGGCCTTGTGCCCACTAGGTTTCTGGTTGACCTCTGGGCCGGGGGAGTGGCTCACCTTCCTCCAGGTCCCGAACTCGGCGTTTGAGGGCAGCTGTCATGGCGTCGGAGCATAAAGAGTAGAGGTCGGCGCCCGTCAGCTGGGGCGGGCAGTGGTCGAGGACGTCCACCAGGCTCACAGAGGGCTCCAGCCTGAACCTGTTGTAGGGACACAGGAGAGAAAGAGTCCTACTTGGCTTCCCTGACTCCATCAGAAGGCATCCCTGACCAGCTTATTGAGGGCTTTGCACTCATCTTCTAACCATCCCATGGCCCAAGCCCCTGGGGGCGGGGGGAGGTCTCCCTCTAATGGGGCATACTTGCGTGTGATGGCGCTCAGAACACGGAGCTGGGAGGCACGGTCCTCATTCACCCCCACAAACACCAGCTTGTCAAACCTTTAGGGAGATAGGTGGGTGTCAGGGAGCCTGGTGTGAGGGTGGAGAGGCACAGACGGGTCACGGGACAAGCCCAGAGGGGCCTGGTGGAGGTGAGAGGGACGGGGTGCACACCTGCCAGGCCGCAGGAGAGCGGGGTCCAGCAGGTCTGGTCTGTTGGTGGCTCCGAGCACGAACACATCCTGGGTGCTGTGAAGCCCGTCCAGCTCGGCCAGGAGCTGAGACACCACCCTGTGAAGGAGGGAGTGAAAACGAGAGTGCTCGGTGCATCCTCACCCTCTCCCCTCCACCGGGTGCCCCTCTGCAGGCTGTCTGCACAGGGCCCCCTGCCCAATCGTGCCCTGTGGACCCTGCCACCCTGGCCCCCATCTCAAAACCCCACACCCAACTCCACGGCCCCTTTTAGCTTCTGCTACATGATCACAGAACCAGAAGGGCAGGAACTCTTTGGGCGGCAAAGACCAGTACAACCTGTCTCACATCCCGCCATCCCTCCCTCTAGGGTCTTGGACCCTAGAATCCTGGCTCAGACCCCCACCTGTCCATCACACCTCCAGAGTCTCCACTTCGCCCCCGATTTGGGGCCAAGGAGTCCAGTTCATCAAAGAAGATGATGCAGGGAGCTGCGGCCCTGGCCCGGGCAAACACTGAGGAGAGAGGGGCCCATAGGACAGGCTGGGGGTTAGATGTCAGGAGACGGGGAGGGCAACCCAGGTTGACAGCTGATCACTAGCACTTCAGGTAGAGGCCCCTCCAGGCAGGAACCTGACCTGGGGAGAGGAAGACTAGCCAGCAACCTGAGGGCTCTCCCTCCGCCCCCACTCACTCACCTTCCCGTACATTCTCCTCGCTTTGGCCCACGTACATGTTGATGAGCTCGGGCCCTTTCACACTGTGGGAGGTGATAGGAGAGGGTGAGACTCCTCAAGACACAGAAACACACAACTGACCTCTTGGCCACCCCCTCCTGCTCCCCAGCCAGTCGCAGACCCCAGTCCACCCACCCTCCTGGCCAGGCCCGGTTGCCACCTGAGAAAGGTGAGGCTGCACTCCGTGGCCACCGCCTTGGCCAGGAGGGTCTTGCCCGTGCCAGGGGGCCCGTGGAGCAGAAGGCCGGAGCGCCTTAGGCCCAGGCTGAGCAGCTCAGGGTGCTCCAGAGGAAGCTGAATCGTCTCCAGAATCTCCTTCTTCACCTCCTGTAGCCCGCCCACGTCGTGCCAGGACACCGAGGGGATCTAGGAGACGGGAAGGGCGTGGCTGGGCACCAACTGGTGGAGGGCACTCCGGTCCCACCCCCAAGGGCCTCGAGTGTCTACCCTGGGGGCTCCGACAGCCTGGGAGTGAGAGGCCTGCAGCTGCTCCAGCGCCTGCCCGAAGTCCTCGGCCAGGAGAGGGAAGCCTGCCGCACACAGCTCCCCCTCATCCTCCTCACTCAAACCACCGGCCCAGCTGCGAAGAGAAACCCGGGGAGGCCTGTGGAGGACCAGCCCTGAGGCCTCCTTCCAACCGCGGCCCTCACCTTCCTCCCTCCCTTTCCACCCCCTGCCTGCCCAGACTGCCTCTTGCCCCTCCCGCGCCCAGCTTCTTTACCCTGAGTTCTTGATCCTGCTGCAGGCTGCCCGGCTGCTGTGGGTCAAAAGGGCATAGAGATCCCCCACCACAAAGCCCTGGGGACGCACAGGAGAGCACACGTCAGCAGGGCACAGTAGGGAGGCACCCTCGGGGGGAGGGAGGGGTGGTCCCCTGGCTGGTGCCAAGGCCCAGCACTGAGGCCTCGGGTTTTCTACCCTCACCTGCGTGGCAGCAGGACTGCCCCCCAACAGAGAGCGCAAGGAGGCCGGCGCCCTGTCGGGGGTACTCACCGCACATCGCCGCGCCAGCTGCGCCAGGTTCACCTCTTGGCCCAGGGGGAGGTGGGCAGTGAGGGCCTGGAGGATGCTGAGCCGCTGCGCCTCCGCTAGCACAGGCACCTCCAGCTCATGGGGAAAAGCCGTCTGCACGTCTGTGGGCAGGTCCTGGGCCCGGCTGGTGGTGGCCACGACCAGCAGGGGAGGGCAGCTGTGGACAGGGAGTGGGTCCTGAGGGTGGGAAGGTGGCCAGCAGCCCCTGAGTGCAGCCTCGTCCCGAGGCTGGTGCAGGAGGGTGGCTGGGGGGCAGGGATGGGAGAGGGAGATGGGAGCCCCCAAGCTTCCCAGATGGGGCATCCCCCTACACACAGGGAACTCAATGAGGGCAGAGGCTGTGCTTTAGCGTTCCCCAAGAAACAGCCCATGGCTCAGTCAATAAAGAATCTGCCTACAATGAAAGAGAATGCAGGTGCAATCCCTGGGTTGGGAAGATCCCCTGGAAAAGGGAATGGCAACCCACTCCAGTATTCTTGGCTGGAGAATCCCATGGACAGAGGAGCCTGGTGGGCTACAGTCCATGGGGTCGCCGAGTTGGACACGATCGAGCAACTAAGCACATATAAGGAGTAACAGGGCCCGCACCCTCCTCCCTCTGGGCACCCCCACCCCCTCAGCTCAGGGCTGCCTGGAGAGCCACCAGGTGGCTGTCTGAGAAGCCACTGAGGGGGTGGGGGAGAGTGCTGGACCTCCCTCCTTTCCGCTCAGTGCTGGATGCTACCTGGCGAGCGGGTCTTCATCCAGCAGGAGGTGACGCAGCGTGGCCACCACCCGGGCGTCCTCGCCTAGTCCATCACGGTCCCGGCCCAGCAGGTCCACGGCTGTCAGCAAGAGAACCACTGGCCGGCAACACCGGGCCCGGGAGAAAATGGCCTGCAGTTTTGTCTCCACAGCACCGCTACTGTCTGCACAGAGGCTGGAGCAGGGCACCTGGGGAGGGGTTCCCAATGGGCCTGTGAGCAAGGGAAGGGGCAGGCATGACCAGGGCAGGAGAATGGGGGGACAGGTCAGAAGGTACAACCCGTCTTTTAGGAGGGTGGGGATGGGGGCAGAAGGTAACACTGGCCAAGCTCTAACTCTTCTTTTCCCTAACCACATTCCCTGGACTGCCCACCAAAACCTTGGTGGTGTCCTCTTTTTAAAATTATTAATTTTATTTTTGGCTGCACTGGGTCTTCCTTGCTGTGCATGGGCTTTCTTTGCGGCGAGTGGGGGCTACCCTCTAGTTGCAGCACGCAAGCTTCATTGCGGCGGCTTCTCTTGTTGCAGAGCACGGGCTCCCGGGCACGTGGGTTTCAGTAGTTGTGGTGCATGGGCTTGGTTGCTCTGCAGCATGTGGGGTCTTCCTGGATCAGGGTTCAAACTTGTGTCCCCTTCATTGGCAGACAGATTCTTAACCACTGGACCACCAAGGAAGTCCCAGAGTGTCCTTCTTGAGAGCATCTCTTGGTAGCTCAGCATCACAGCACTATGCCTGATCCACTGGCCCAATGGACTGAAGTGGTAGAGCCTAGCTAGTGGTCAGAGGGGAGAGGGAGAATACGGGCTGTGGAGGAGATGGAGTTGGGGGTCTACTCTCCAGGGACCCTCACCTTCAATAAGTGGAGCCCAAGGCGGCTGCAGGCGGCGGCGACTGCAGTGGTCTTCCCACTGCCTGGGGGGCCCCGCAGAAGGACACTGCCAGTCCCTGTCAGCAGGGCACCCCTGCAACCAGAGAAAAGACATTTGCTTCCTCCATCCTGCCCAGAAGGGAGTCCCCAGTGACACAGGCACCCTTGGGTCCAGAAAG